TTTCCTCCTTTTCACACCGCTGTCCAATCACAGCAGGAGTGCATGCTTCTCCCCCTCCTCTGTCAGTCGGCCACTCAGACGAGGAGGCGGGGCAGCGATTCCTGCAGTGCTGCTTTTGAGTGGGCAGCTGCTGGAGGAGGCACAGGAGGGAATCGGACGGTCACGCGAAAAGAAGGAGATAAGCAGCGCACACCAGCTGATGAGTGAGAGAGCTAAGCTGGGTTGTGTGGGAAGGGAATGATTTGTGATGACCCCGCACAAAGCGATTTGTGCTTATCTCTAATTGCTACTGGCCACGAATACAATACCTTTAAAAGATACTTGAACAAGTAGATAATGTGGACCTTGATCGCTTGCTCATTACTGTAACTCAAAGTTCAGTCTATGAGGCAGCTATAGGGGCTGGTTTGAAAGCTGGCATCCAGAACACCGTTTTCCCTAAATGTGCTGCTTGAACTTGCTAAAGCTTTTTCCCTTCAGGGAACTGCTCTCTAAAGCAGATCCTGTGGTTTGCTTCTTTCCGTTTTTTGTCACTAAAAAGGAGACCCGAGTGCTAAGGGTAAAGTAAACGGTGTTCCAGTGTCTAAAACACACACTTTGAAGCAGCTTTTCATGCTTTATTATCAGTTCATTCCCTTTTACCTCAGAGAAAAGTTAAGGACCAAGCTTAATGAAACCGTCTGAAAATATCTTTTTAAAAAAACCTCTAAAAGGAGTGCTTTGAATGCTTAAGTATTTTCCCCACAGACCAGGCTTGACACAGCTCGTGGGTTTGACATAGGCTTTCTAGGTGGTTCTCAAGCTGCTGACATTTAACACACAGCCCAAATGCTGTGAGTTTTATAGAATCCCAGCAATTTTTGCTCATGCTCTCATACAAGAACTTTGAAAAGGCAGAGATCTAGAGGATTTTTCAATAATGGTGTTGTGGGAATTCTATCATGCCTGTTAAGGGCTACCTTTGCAACCACATTGCAGTGGGTTGACTGATAGTCTTGTAAGTGTTGAAATGTTCTCCCACAGGCATCGAGTATTTTCCCTGCCCACCACACCGTGGTGCCAAAATGGACGTGGGCCTGAAGTCAAGGGACTGCACAGCCCCACTGCCATGCCAGAATCCACTGTGTCTCAAAAAGGCGGAGGCTGTCGTAAGTACCTTTGAGTTTGTATCCTGTCACTGAAGACTTGTGGCTGGAATGCTTGGTTCTGTGCGTGATTTTCCCTTCCCTGTTGTTTGCACAAGGAGAACCCAACAATCAAGCAGAAATCCTTGTTGTGATGATCGGGGGAATCAATGGCTTGCACAGTTGCAAGCTGCAGGCCACTGGGAGCAAAACGAAGCACTCTGCCTGCAGAGCCCTTTTGCCGGCACATTGACCGAGAGGATTTTAGCCCTAGCAAACAACCACACACTCTGCTCACTACAGCCTGGGAAAAAGCATTTGCCTTCACAGCGTCACTCCTGATGAGGACAAGTGAACTGGGGTAACCTTTTGAAAATCACATTTTGAAAGCAAAGTTTTTTTTTAGTTGTTTCAAAACTTTAGTTTTTGGATGCTTGTGCTCCTGTTTAAGACAGAAACCACATTTTGAATTCGCCTCCAGAAGGAAAGAGCATTATTTCTAAGCTCTGCCTCCGGCTGGCGGAAAAGTACAAAAAAACCACACTGACAGCAGTGGAGCACCGACCACAGGGCCAGTGGCTTGTTGATGGCCTCAGGCCCCATATATGGTGGATTTTGCTGGAGCTCAGCTTGAGCTAGGCTGAGGAGAGGTGGTGGGATGATTATTCAAGGGGAGTGAAGAAAATTTGGTAGACAGTAACTCTAGTATAGATCCCTTTTTCATAAGCAGGCTGAGGTTGCTTAAGC